ATGACTGGGCTTTCAGGATCCACGTTCGAACCAAAATTCGTTTCGTTACGGTGCCCGTCCGAGCCGCGATCCTTTGTTTCTGGTGCGAGTCCTCCTGACAGATCCGGCGATCTCGCGTTTGTTATTACGCCAACAAGCCACCTGTCGATGGAATGCTGCCCAAGATGTGAGAGAGACTTGTAAGTTGTGGTGCATATCCCAATACTTGGCGCTTCGTAAATGTAAAAAGTCCAATAATGAAGGCTACGCTCCCCATTGTCTGATGCGTAGATACAAGCTTTTGGTATGAGGTCGCGCCGGATCAGGCTGCCAAGGCTGATGTGATGCTACCCTACTTTTCTCGTGATTGGCAGTTGCAGAGCACAGTACATCCCCAAAATCAAAGCCCTAAAGCTCTCCACATCTAACTACGAGACACATTGCTATGTTGATTGGAGCTCAGGTAGTCTCTTGCTACAAGACCCGAAACAAACGCGAACGTGCAATCGCCCATGAACGGCGAACATCTCTGGCTTGCAATGACTTGTTGTAAATTCCTCAGCGCCTACCTAAGTATCCAGTCGTTATACGTGATCAAAAGATGCAGTGTATACTCATGCATGCAATATGCGCGTTTCATTCTGCATGCAGCAGCCAATATTTGAGACTGCATAGTCGAGGTTACACAGCAGCGCAGGCAGTCACTCACATAAGAGGTCAAAGCGCGACGGCTTGCCCCGTTTGCTTATCACAGATTGCAAGCCTGCCTACTTAAATGATAGCAATCATATTCTATAAAGTCTTCTAAACCCCGGAAGTATCCAATTCTATCCTCGTACCTTGGTAATCCATTCGACATGTCTCACGATACACCTTCATCCCACGCGGACGAAACGACGTCGCCGCTCTACGAAAAGCGATCGATCCCGGGAAAGGGAAACGGCCTTGTCGCGTGCGCCGATATACCGGAGGGGACTCGTATTCTGTGTGAGAAACCGTTGTTCACTCTAGTCTCCGCAGCGAACTTGATCGATAATGCTGTGTTGGCGAAAGTGAAATCTCTCTCCAAGGACCAACAACGCCAGTACCTCGGTCTTCACAACAACCATCCCAGTAGCAACATCTTCTCTGGTATCTTCAAGACGAATGCTTTACCATGTGGACCAGGCTCGCCGATCGGTGGCGTGTATCCAACCATCTGCCTGATCAATCACTCTTGCGACTCCAACTCCCACCATAGCTGGAACGACACGATAAGCAGCGAGACCATACACGCCCTTCGAGACATCAAAGCGGGAGAAGAGATCACAATCTGTTATAAAGATCCTGAGACTTATCAGGCGCGACGCGCTAAGCTCAGAGGCTCGTTCGGGTTTGATTGCGACTGCAGTCTCTGCTCGCTTCCACTTGAGGAAAGACAAAAGAGTGATACTCGCCGCACCCGCATCGCGCAACTCGATGAAGACATCGGTGACCCGAGCCGCGTCATGAACAGCCCAGGTACCTTCCCCTGGACACCCCTACTCGTGTTTACAACCACTGATGCACTGTAGTACGTACAGCAACTAAGGCTAGCCAAAATCTTTGAACTGGCTCGATAATATCTAGGAAGACATTTGCTAACTCACGTGCGTGTCATTTAGGTCAAGGTCTTAGCAGACTGCCGAGAAATGGTACGTGTCCTGAACGAGGAGTTCAAATGCGTCACGATTCTGGATGCAAGACTGTACTACGATGCGTTCCAGGTCGCCATTACCCATGGCGATCAAGCTCGTGCTAGCGTCTTTGCGGGAAGAGCATACGACGCTCGGCTCTTTTGCGAGGGGGACGATAGCCCGGAGACACGCAAGATGAAGGACTTCCAGGAAAACCCGAATACACACCGCAACTTTGGAGTATCCAAGCGATGGAGGACTAACAAGACTGCGGCTCCCAGAAATCGGGACGAGACGGAGTTTGAGGATTGGCTCTGGCGGTCGTGATCAGGTTGATTCGCGAACCTGAAGGTGTGAGAAATACCAGCATACGTGTTACAATGTTGATACCATGGTGAGAGAGCAAACAGTGGGTCTGCAAGGTGATAGACCGGCTTGACAACGTGATGAGATTCTGGTTTGGCTTAGCTGGTGTAGAAAAGCTCACTCACTCACAATGCATTTCTTCTAGACCCCTACCCTTCTCTTGCCCTCGTTCACCACACAGCGGGCGCAGTGAAGTCTTTGCCAAAACAACACAAGAGCGTTATAATTACGAAAGTTTGCTTTCGCGTCAGCGGTCGCAAAAGATATACTGAACTGCTGCAATTAGTTTCACTACTGCCGCATCCCATACAATGAGTTCCTCACTCTACGATGTTCGAAAGATCCCCGGAAAAGGCAGAGGCCTGGTAGCTCGCTCCGACATTCCTGAAGGCACCCGTATCCTCTCCGAGAAACCGCTGCTCATGATACCTAACAACATGTCCAAAGAGCAACTGGAGGCTCGACTTGCACGAGATCTAAAGGCCCTGGACAAGGATCAGCAGCGACAATACTTCTCACTTCACAATAGCTACACTGGCAAGTACGTCCTCGGCGGCATCTTCAAAACAAACTCAATGGCTTGCGGCAGCAACTTGTCTGCTATTGCAATATTCCCTACCATCAGCTTCATCAATCACAGCTGCCTTCCCAATAGTCATTACAACTGGAATGACTCTATGGGGATGCAGACGATCCATGTCACTCGCGATCTCCGCGCTGGAGAAGAGATAAGTATCTGCTACACCGACTCTGGAAGTGCCAGTGTTCGCCAAGCTTACCTGAAGAAGCACTTCGGGTTCGACTGTTCGTGCGCAATCTGCTCGCTCTCAGCTACTCATCGCAATGCTAGCGACGCGCGTCGTGAAGAAATCTCTCGTCTCCAGGACACATTTGCTGAAGCAGATCGCGCAATGTCCAAGCCTGAAGAGGCATTCTTCGACCTTCGGAAGATAGTCGAACTCTTGAACAAGGTACGTGTTTTGCCTAGTGAGACTGCAAGCTCCATACTGATGGTTTCCAGGAGTTTAAAGGTGCTGCCAAAGTCCCGGAGGCGGATATCTATTGTTATGCGGTACAGCTTAGTCTCTTCCATAGTGATGAAGCGCGAGCAATTGTATTCGCTGAGAGGGCGTACAAGGCGTTGCTCATCTGTGTGGGCGAAGATGGGGAGAATGCACAAGAGATGAAGGCCCTGATAGACAGCCCAGCCTCTCACGCAGACTTTGGATCGTTGTCGAGCAGGTGGAGGTCTAACAAGTACGATGCTCCAAGAGGTAGAGAATTTGGTAAGAGTCACTTCGAGGATTGGCTTTGGCATTTGGTCGAGAGGTTGGAGACGGCGGACCTTAGCGATGATTAGTTCATCAACTGTTGGCGGGGATAGGTCCTCGTAGCCAGTCTGGAGCTGCGCAAACTGTCTCCCAAATCGTATGTAGCTGCATCTTTGCGGCGAGTACATTCGGATGCCTATGCGAATCAGAAATAGCTTGCAATAGAGGATGCATCATATTTCCGCGGCACTGTGATCCTTCTCTGTGCTGTAGTGGATGTAGTACATGCGGCGGTGATTTTGCAGACTTCGCAAGTAGTCGCACTGCATATTCCGACAGTATCTCAGACGAAGACGAAGAGCGGGTGTGGTGCCTGCTGCTTCCAACGGAGTCGATGATCTGTTGTTCAGGAGTCGAGGACGCGAGAGGTGCGCGGCCTTTCGGGCCGATTTCGGCATAGATCAGCGCGCGAGCTGCACTCCAAGGTGGGCGGCGATGCTTCTGCATCCGCATCCCGCCCCCACCTCTGCACACTAGAGAAGCTCCATGCATGGAGCACCGAAGACCACGCGATGCTCTCTCATGCGATCGTTGTCGCGCGAAGAAGCTAAAGTGTTCGAAAGATGCGCCAATATGCACTTCCTGCGCCCATAGCGGCTCGCACTGCCATTACAGTGGCAAAGTCGCTAGATCACCCTTGACACGGGCATATCTCACGGGTGTAGAGAAGCGACTGCACAGTCTGGAGTCTCTGGTCACGCAGTTGCTACCTGGAGTTGATATTGAAGACTTGTTATCAGCTCCAAATGTGGCTGGCTCTGCACGATCCGTCATCATCCAGTCTCAGACGCCAGAAGTAGCACCAAGCCCCCAGGGCAGCACCCACTCAAGCACACATGAGCCTGCGTTACCTGAAGCTGTACCCAACAATGTCGATGGCTTCAATTGGCAAGAAGAAGACGTCAATGTCGATGGGCTGACTGATGGCATGGCCGCCCTGTCAGTCGAGCCTACTGGTGTAGGTTATTTGGGTCAGTTGCTTCAGTCGAAGAGCAAAACGCGTGACTGAAACTATCTAGGCTCGACTTCTGGGGTCGTTTTTCTTCGATGTTTGCTTGACTGGGCCGGCTTTCTGCACCAGTCTGTTCCCCGGCCTCAACAGAGTGTGGCCACCCCATCCGCTTCCTTTCGAAACGTATTGGCATCATCGCACATCTCGCATGCAGCCCTCACAACACAGCTGTCGTCGAGCTTGATTGATGCCTACTTTGCCAACTACCACGTGGTCTATCCATTTGTTCACGAAGCAACATTCCGGGCGCAGTACCATGAAGTCGTCCCGCGGCCCTCAAAAAAGTCGTGGAACATGCTTTCTCATGCGATCATAGCACTTGGCGCGTGGTCGTTGAATAACGATCAAATTGGGCTGGAAGACTACCTATACCGCCGGGCCTTGACCTTGGGTCAGGAAGAGTCTGTGTTTGAAGCTGCCAGCCTGACTTCTGTACAAGCGCTCATACTTCTGAGCAACCTTAGTCAGAAGCGCAATAGCCCAAATACAGGATGGAATCTGTTGGGCCTCGGCGTTCGCACAGCGCTCAGTCTAGCCCTCCACAGAGAACTTCCTCACTGGAACATCACCCTGATAGAGCGCGAGACGAGACGTCGAGTATGGTGGGGTCTCTACATCTTCGACAGTGGAGCTTCGACGACATTCGGTCGCGCGATCATGTTGCCTGACCAAGAGACTATGGATGTCCATCCTGTGCTGAACATCCACGACGAGGTATGACCGTCCAGCGAAGTTTGTATAGCCGTCGCGAAACTGACCCATGCTAGTCACTTACTCCACAAACCACAACGCTGCCCACTGAGGTTGACGAACCGACTATATACTCCTCTCTCGGAGTACAGAGTAGTTTTCACCTACAGACGAACCACATCTCAAACAAACTACTAGCCGAGCCCGGGCTCTCTGCGGAGGCCGCGCTCGCTTTGAACGCTTCCATGGATGCGTGGACACACACAGTTCCGACATATTTCCAGCTTTCGCATGCGCCCAGGTCGACGGCTCCGTGGTATTCATTCGCTCGCTCTCGGCTGTGGTGGAGGTTCTGGAATCTCAAGATCATCATCTTCCGACAGATATTGTTGCGCCGAGCCATCTCTGAGCGAGGTCAGATCCCAGACCTAGCCATGCAGTCAAGCCAAGAGGACTGTAAGCGAATTTGTCTCGAAGCTGCGCATTCTACGGTGGTTTCGATACATCAGTATGCAACACAGGACTTGAATAGACTTGAGGGTTGGTACGCGACGTAAGCATCTAAATTGGACCCTTCATATCAATGTCTAAGCTAATCGGGTTACAGGTACTTCCTTTTCCACGCGGCACTAGTAATAACCCTCTGCATCATCAGCTTCCCGCGCGCTGAGGAGACTGCGATCTGGTATGAGGATGTTCGCTTGGCCCGAACCACCTTCCGCGAACGGCTTGTTGGGGATTCGTTGTCAGCCCGCTGCGTGGCCATCCTTGACCAAGTGGTGTCTGACGGCGAGTTGGACTCCGGTACACTGCAGGATCTGGAGCTGGACAAAGACGCCTTGAGTACGTTTCCATGGTCCGTTGAGTCCAATGAGTTATTCAACTCCTTCGATTGGGATTTTACTACGTCCGGTTTCTAACCTCGGGCGCAATCTTAATGGCACGATGCCTCAATTCTCAATGATGACATCCGGCTTTACCATCATGGATCGTATCAGTTCGCCGTTTGGAATGTCATTCTCCTCTGCTCGTGCGATTGCAGCTGACATCGACGTCTCGATGCCAGCAGCAAGGTGACGTTGTGCTAGCCTATCACGAACCGTGCCCACAGGCGCGTCGACAAACCATCTGCAGAGTGTCAGTACCAACCCGCCAGGCGATAGATATGACCATGACCAACCTTTCATCACACATCTCGGCAATCTGATCCCATGGGTCTTGTTTCAAAAGTGTATAGTTGCCCTCAACAATAACCAGTCGAGTACGAGAAGAGATCTTGATAGCGTCTTGCACGGGGTCCTTGACAGCATGGTCGAAGCCGGGTGCAGGAATACAGATGTCGGCTTCGCCATCCCTGGTGACGGGAGCTTCTTTGAGTGTCTTGACAAGCGTCACACACGCCTTCGCATCAAATGTAAAAGGCGCCCCACGTCTTTTGAACGCTACTTCGGCATCATCGAAAGTCGACAGGATTTCCCGAGTGTAGTGGAAGCCGTCCTAGTGCTCGTCAGAGATGTGGCATCGCGGGTTTCGGTTGGCTCCTACCATCGGTACAACAGCAACATCTTTGATACCTCGCGCAGCAAGCTCAGAGACGAGCGCATCAGACACCGTTGACTTTCCCGCGCCTGGCACGCCTGCAAGAGCAACAAGCATGCGATGACCGGGATTGGTCGCTTGGCGAGACAGAAGGTTTTCCGTGCGCTTGGCCACATCGAGTATGGCTGCACGCAAGGCGTCCACCTTTGATTCGGCTGGCATCATCGGCGACTCTGGAATAGCAGTCACGAAATCCTTAATGAGATGCGAAAATGTATGAGATGCTCGGGTGAAAAGACTGGCACAAGGTGAGCAGTGTTACAGTACTGCATGCGACGAGCTATGATCTAAAGATCACGTTGGCGTTGTGGAGTTCGTCGGACGACAGCTGTCCGAGCATAAGTCATGTTGGAACCCCAGTTCCCACAACTGAATCAGGCAACTTTACCATGCGGGGATCCCGCATGGCACTTACGACTACCGGCGTAGACGCATGGAGAATCGTGGAGTCGGACGACAGTGCTCCGAAGGTGTCGGACCCCAGCTACGATCGTGAAGTTCTCATGCGATCGGCAAAGGTATATAAGCACGCGACACTACCACTACTAGACTGCCTACTCATAGCTGATTCCAACCATCGGAGCCGAAATTGGCATATCCACAAAGAAGACGGCCAGCATGTCTTCAATCCAGGATGTTAACGCCGACGGAGTTGCGCCAAAGATTGGTGTCTACAAGGAGCTGAGACAGAACCCATACCTCCTTGGCCTGTCCGCTGTAAGTCGATACGAGGCCAAACCTACCTCAGTCCCAACTAATATGCATAGTTCGCCTCACTGGGCGGTTTTCTCTTCGGTTATGATCAAGGTGTTGTCTCTGGAGTGTTGACCATGGAGTCTTTCGCGGCATCCTTCCCGAGAATCTCCACAGACAGCTCCTTCAAGGGCTGGTTCGTCTCGACTTTGCTACTCGCCGCTTGGTTCGGTTCTCTCGTCAACGGACCAGTAGCCGATCGCTTCGGTCGCAAAGGGTCTATCATCATAGCTGTCGTCATCTTCACCATCGGCTCTGCGCTTCAAGCTGGCGCGATCAACATTCCGATGGCCTTTGCAGGTATGAGATATCCGGCGAAGTACAACTACAATTCAAACTGACAATATCCACAGGCCGCGCAATCGCTGGTTTTGCTGTTGGCATGTTAACCATGATTGTACCAATGTACATGAGTGAGGTCTCAACCGCCGGCATCAGAGGCACTCTAGTCGTTCTCCAACAGCTTTCCATCACACTCGGTATCCTTGTCTCCTACTGGCTCGAATTTGGCACCCAGTACATTGGAGGTGTACGCTGCGCGCCCGACATCCCGTATACTGGTGGCACTGCAGCAGAGCCTGCCTTCGATCCAAGGAATGATGTTGGCCCCAACGGCTGCACCGGTCAGAGCGATGCTGCGTGGCGCGTTCCTTTTGCGCTCCAGATCTTCCCCGGTCTCGTTCTCGGTATCGGTATGCTGTTCTTCCCCGAATCACCTCGCTACTACTGTATGCGCGACAACGAAGAGGCTGGTGTGAGAGCGCTCGCCCGAGTTCGTCGCACCTCTCCAGATGATGAGTCCCTGCAAAAAGAGTATCTCTCCATCAAAGCCGAAGTCATGTTTGAGGAGCAATACAGCCGCGAGAAGTTCCCTGGAAAGTCTGGAGTTTCGCTGTATCTTTCCGGTTACTCAACGCTCTTTTCGACCTGGCCATCTTTCAAGCGTACTGCTATCGGTTGCTGTGTCATGTTCTTCCAACAGTTCATCGGATGTAATGCGATCATCTACTATGCGCCAACAATCTTTGGTCAGCTAGGCCTCAGTGGTAAGACGACTGGTCTGCTCGCAACAGGTGTTTATGGAATAGGTATGTGATCTGCTGCCAGACACAACGAGACTTGATTACTAACTCGATCTTCTAGTCAATACGCTATCTACTCTTCCAGCGCTCTTCCTCATCGACAAGATCGGTCGCCGCCCTCTCCTTCTCTGTGGTGCCGCTGGTACTTGTATTTCCCTCTTGATTGTCGGTGGTGTCATCGGCGGTTACGGATCTACTCTCAAAGACCACCCCGCAGCTGGCTGGACGGGCATCGCGTTCATCTACATCTACGACGTCAACTTCTCATATTCATGGGCACCAATCGGTTGGGTTCTACCCTCGGAGATCTACAACATCGGTAACCGCTCAAAAGCCATGTCTCTGACCACCTCATCGACATGGATGTGCAACTTCATCATCGGTCTCGTCACGCCCGATATGCTGGAAACCATTGGTTTCGGCACATACATCTTCTTTGCTGCTTTCGCTTTGATCGCGTTTGTCTTCACGTGGTTCCTGATTCCCGAGACTAGGGGCAAGAGCTTGGAAGAGATGGATGCTGTGTTTGGTGACAGCACTGCGCACGAGGAGAAGACGAGGCTGTACAACATTGCGCAGAGTTTGGGATTGGAAGAAGCCGAGGCTGCGGCATTCGATGAGAAGCCCATGAAGGCGCTGCAGACTGAGGTGACGAACGTATGATAATAGTCTACATAGAAGCTAGACAGCGTGAAGCGTACATTAACGCTAGGTCTTCCTGTTTGCTCAATGTTGTCCTAATGTAGGCTGCAGGCCTGTTCAGTTTCTTCTTTATTGCTCTGCTCTCCAATCCCTCATCGCGTCACCTTCCAACTGCTCAAGCATTGAGTCGTCTTCATCTCCATCATCATAATCGCTTTCCTCATCCTCGTCATCCTCAAAGTCATCTTCACCATCCTCAGAGTCATCTTCAGAGTCAGTCATCCACCCCGTCATCCGTACCTTCCTCCGTTCATTACAAATCTGAGCTCGGCATTCAGGACAGAGGTTGGAGTTGGGTGAAGTGTCATTCATCCATTCTTTGATGCAAGCGAAGTGAAAGTAATGGCCACAAGCACTCATTTTGGCACCTAATAAGCCGTGAGTCTCAAGACACACCACGCAGAGCTGATCTTGAGGGATGTCCAGATCCCATTTTGCATGGTCTAATGGCTGCATGACAGGTCCGTATGCCTCTAGATAAGCCTTCCCGTAGAGGTTGCGTAGGGTCTTCGTGTCAAGATTGTATTCATCTTCGGAGTCCTCTCCAGTGTTTTCTCCGTTGTCGGTTTGCAGGTTGTGTGCGCACCAAAACGCGTGTATTTCGTCGCTGTCGTAGGAATCGGTGCCAATGGTTTGCCGCTGAGCCAGAGTTCGTGGAATGCCTCCAAACTCGCCCTTTCTGATACCGTCTGCTGACAGTGAAGAAACCGCTTCAGGCATCTCTATCCAAGTCCGAAATTGTAAACGTCCGTCTCTCCACATCCCTCTCAACAGAGCCTTCATATCCACAGTCTGCGATTTCGACTGTATCGTGGCTCTGGCGAACTGATCCATCACACCTTGGTACATATGGTCTGCAATCGGCTTGTCCATGGTGAGGGCAAAAGCCTCGGCCCACAGATCATCCCAGATATCCCTAAACTTGATCTTCCTCAATGCGGCTCTTGTATGGTAAGGAAGCACCTCGGCTTGACTTCCGTGAAGTGACGGAGTCGCTTCGACTATGTTCTTGAAGCGAGCGCGTGCCTGTACAAAACCGCCGAGATAGGTCGCATATGATGGATACCAGCATGGGTTTCTGTCCCAGATTGCGGCCACGTTGAGTGCGATGTCCATTACGATACCGACCAGGCTGTCTATGGATGCTTCGTCGCAACGGGGCCACATGGTAAAAAGACGGAGCGCGGGTTGGATGGCTTTCATGGTTATGAAGTGGTCCCCCTCTTGGTAGTCTTTACTACTGTTGTATTTTGGCTGAGGCGTGAGAAGCTGCTGGAGCGCCGTTCTCGTCCCGGCGTAATAAGCAACTCCATCTGGTAGACGGATAAGTGCGCACTCGACAAGCCACTTGACACCGCGAGTTACCGTCGTATATCCTTCACCTTTGTCCCAAAGTACTTCTCCCGACATCAAGTCCGTCTGATCGATGTACTCATCCACAACGTGCGAATACTGTCCTCGGTAGAAGATACCAGGCAGGACTCGTCTTACGGATTGCCTAGTTTGAAACTGCGGTGCTTCCGGGTCCACGAGTTCCGGTATTGTGGCGCACACATCGTCGTATCGCTGAGGGGTGGGCGTGTACACAAGGCAGTACTCATCGGCTTCGCGCTGACTGAGTATACCTGCGAAGAACCTGAGGATGAGCTGGGATCCGTAGGGTGCGTCTAGGAATCTCTCGAGGGCGTTGGACAATTCAGGAATATAGCGCGGTTCAGGCTCGCGATCATCGAGTTCGCAGTCTCTGTCGACTTCCTGCATCGGCGCGGTCTTGACGGGATCGGATATGGATTTTCGGCGTCTGAGTGCGGCTAGGAAGGAGGGCAGGAGCAAAGACTGTTTTTACCGCCGAAAGCTTGGACGTAGCAAACACTCATCCGACTAACAATGGCAGTGAAAGCGTTTCGATCCTCTTCTCATCACGTAACACCAAGGTAACAAAGCAATGTATGGCGAACCCCACAGGAGGAATATGTCTGTACACTAAATGCTAGCAATACAACGCCGCCACCGAAGAAAGTAAGAGCGCACTGATGCGACTAACAGGTACAAGGCTACTTGTGATACACGAGCAAGGAAAACCAAAAAAGCAAGCGCTTTGTCAGAGCAATCAAGAGGGGTATTAGAGACAGTAGCGAAGATATAAACCAGCCACCACCAGGGCTCCTATAAGGATACATATTTCGCGCCGCGAGCGAGCGGATGATGCAGGCCGGAAGAAAACAGGGATGTAAAATGGGGGATGACAAGCAAAGGTATAAAGAAGCGAACAAGAAAGTAGAACCCCAGCCCAAAAAAACCAAAATTCTCCCAAGATTTCGTTCCACATAATGCGTCCCACAATCCCCAGAACGCCGGTTGAGGATAAGAGGAAATAAGCCCCTAGGGTATACTGAAAAAGCAAATAATGTAACTCACAACGAGCGAGCGTCTAGAATCTCGACCCCGCCCTCAAACTCCCGTTTGCGCTTGTGCTGCGCGCGGTGCTAGCACCACTTCCAGCTCGTTTCATGCGCTTCTCCATAAGCCCGTTGAGCAGACGATCTAGTTCGCCACTCAGGCCTTGCATGGTCTTTGTCTCTTCGGAGAGATAGTCCTTCATCAGTGGATGATCGCGACCAACAGGTACAACACCCGTAGTGTCGTTGATAACGACGAGCATATCACGGATCTCGCTGCCGTCATCGAGGTAAGCGCGGAGTGAGGCGTCGGACCACGCAGGAAGCATCGTGCTTTCCGATGATACGGGCGGCGACGGTTCGCGATCCTTAGTAGGGATTGGTGCTGGTCGTGAAGGTGGAGGACCGGCCGGTTCAGATGCATGATGCGTGGGTGAGGAAGTGTTGTCAGACCTGAAAGTCGAAATCGTGTTGTTCTCTGGAATGGTTTTCATAGGGCTGTCGTCAGGCGTAGGCGTCGAAATGGGGGAGCTGGTCTCTTGGCTTGAGCTATCGGTAGACAGGCCTGGAGTGTGGTGGGATTCAGACTCTCTTTCTCTGTCGGTAGCACTCTCTTTCTGTGAAGGTTGTGCGTCCGCTGCAGAGACGTGTACTGGAGACTCAGAAAGGCGTCCAGCAGACTCGGACTTCTCAGCCTCGCCTGGCTTATCCTGAGCATCAGGATCCGCGAAAGGATCGCTGCTTTCATCTGAATCGAAATCATCCAACTGCACGCGCTGCTTCGCCTTGGTAACCTTCTCGCGCTTGACCTCTCCTTCTTGTGGTGACTTCATCATGCTACTGAATGGGTTTCTTGAACCTGTAGGCGCGGATGTTGAGTCTGGCGACATGGTCTGTTCTTCTACAGAAGGCCTGTCTGCCTGATCCTGTTCGGGCGGAACTAAACGCATGGTCGACGTAGATTGTTGCGCGGCGGACTGATTGTCAGGTCCATCCGACATGGCATCTGGCTCGGCGCTCAACTCAGTCGGACTCTCGGTCTTCAAGATACCCTTTGTCTTTTGCGGTGAATCGTCTCGGTTACGTTGACTTCGATGCACCTTGGGCTTGCTCAATTGTCTTAGCGGTGCTGGAGCTGTTGCCTGTTCAGCTGACGGTCGTTCTGCGAGTTCATCCGATGGTTTCGATTGCGGCGAGCTGCGGTCCATCTCTTCCGGCTTCTCGATGTCGCTGTCCACAGAGTCTTGTGCGCCCTTGCCTTTACGATCCTTGCGCTTGAACAGCCCACTGAGCATGCCAGACTTCTTCTCTTTCTTCTTCTTGTCGTCCTTGACCTTGTCTGCGAACCCATTCTTCTCCAAACTTTCAAGGCTGGGGCCGCGCTCGCGGGAGCCTGTAGTCGATGTACTGGAGTCGTCGCGAAGCAGGTTGGGAGTGAGGGTGATTTTGCGTGTCTCGGTGTTTTCGTCTTTGAAGAAAGAGTCTGTGTTGCGGAGCGTGCCATTCCGAGAGACTTTCGGGTCCAGAGGTCGATCGACCGCATCTTCGCTACCTCTCTCACGGTCTTCGCTTCGTTTCGCAGATTCCTCGCTTGAGCCTCGTGCTTCACCATCAGTCTGGCCATCCTTCTTCGCGCCATTGACCTTGAGAGGTTGCACTTCGAGGTTTTCTTCCTGTGCGGAATCGCCATCTTGTGTTGCTGCCTGCTGCTGTTGCATTTGCTTTGGCTCTGGGCCACCGAAAAGCTCGCCTTCGCCCTCGTCAGATGAGTAGTCGTAGTCCGAGGCTTCGACGTAGGTAGGGGGAGCGAATTGTACGGTCTTAGCATTCCTTCGCCGCATAGCCTTCTTGAGCGGGTTCTTGGATTTCTCGGCAGTATCACCAAGCATCGTTGCGGAGAGGTCTATATTTCTGTGCTTGTTGAGGCGGGCCAGACGTTCTGTCGGTGTCTCGATGTGTTCGGCGGGCAGGTACCCTGTAGATTGAGTCAGCAAAAGCTTCAGATTGGTGACGGATGCCTACCGATGCTGTTGTCCTTGACTACTCGTACTAGCCACCAGTAGCTGTTACTGTCGTCAAGTAACACCATCGTGTCACCTTTCGTTGCATTTGCCTGACCCTCCACGGTCGCGACAAAGGTGTGCAGAGCGTAAACGAATTCGAAGTCGATATCCTCTGTTTCTCGTAAGCATTCGCCTCCCCATCCTGAATCGATAAATCTGGAATCATTAGAGAAAGAGACATCGTTGGATGCATCATCGTTGTCTTGGTCCATGTCCTCATTCCAAGAGTCGGCATCGCTGTCGGTGGTCCAAGAGCCCTCCTCATCTTCGGAGTGACCAGCTTCGGGGGAAAGGGTGCTGCCCGTCCCTTGAGGTGGACCTGGGCCGGGTTCTAGGAACGGATCGTCCGGCGTGTCCAGAAGTGCGCGGTTGATCGGTTTCAACATGCTTATGACCTGGTCCTCGTCCAGTTCGGAGATTAGTGATGCCTGTGAGTCTTCTCTCATCTCAATACGGCGTTCGACGGCCTTGAGTTGTCTCGTCCTCGGGCTCATACCAACCTCAATCCGCATGGCGTTGCTGTCGTCCGGTGCGTTGGTGGCCCTTGTCCAGGAATACTCACCACGATGATGCTCCGCTGACTGATTTTCCGTGGGTATAGGGAATCGAAAAGGAATGGGAATCGATGTAGGTCGACCCCTTGACATAGGAGAAGTGTCGGACGCTGGGACGCTGAGTGGTCTTCGAGCGTTGGCGACAGAAATAGGAAAATGAATGGGCGTGTTCGTAAACGGGGAGGAAGAAGCGACCGTTGAGAGGAACGGCGAAGACTGCGGAGTCGTAAACTCTTGTCTTGCCGGCCAGGTCGTGGGGGAACAAGGTAAAGAATACCCACCATCGTCTATCGAGGGCGAACTCGAAATCTTGTCCATCATGTCGTCGTCCATGTCCTCCTCGACGTCGGCGTCCTGCATGTCGCCGTCATCACCGTCGTTGGACGTTCCACCATTCAGCCTGACAGCCTGCTCGTCTTGCTGTGAGCCCTTGTTTCCATTGATGACAGTGCGGTCGTCGTCTGAGCCGGGATCGTCTCGTAGCGTGTTGCCAGCATCGCTCCATGCATCGTGCAGACGCGCCTCCTCTGAGGTGCGCTCCTGCTCTACATGCCGTATCGCAGCCTGCTGGTGAGGCGCTGCTGGGCCAATACCAAGCGGCGCAGGGTGTTGGGGCTGCTGGGAGTGGTCCTGGGCGGTGGGCGATGATTTGTCCTGCAGGTCGATGGTGTCTACGCACTTGAGTTAGCCTGCGCATCTCAATTATGCACTCTCTATGATCTCCGTACCTGCTCTGATGATATGCGGTCGCGTCATCCTAGCTCATTCCTCTCTGCGCGTGCAACGTTGGGGGATCTTCGTTCGGAGGAATGGCTAGGTGAGATGAGGCGCAATCGGTGGCTGGGTCGACTTGCGCAGGGTCACCGTAGCGCGACTCCAGTTGCCGTGGAAATACAACAATACAAAGTGCAAAGAATCGCGTACGTGGGTCGATCAAGGCGTTACAGGTGTCGCATGCGTTATCTGGGCGTGTTTCGAGGAAGGAGCGGCTGAGGGTCGGGGGAGCGTAAAGCGGAGGGAGATCCGTTGGGGGACATGCGAGTCTCTGACGCGGCAGCGAGGGCGAGACGGCGGCACAGCGAGACAGCAAGTGGGCGAAGGGATGGCGATGAATGCGTCGCTGCTGGCAGTGAGGGGCACGTCGTGGGCGGTGCAGTGGTGAAAGTAACGTCGTATGGCACGAGAGTGAACTGTTTCGGGGTCGCGCCTTCCCGAAGTTGTCCCTGTTCAGGTCAACTTGAAACACCTCACTTCTAGTTCCTGCGCTAGCCTGTTCCTGGCCATCCCATTGCAAAAAGGAGATGCGGCTCGGTCCTTCTATATCACCGCCTTAATGACCGCATCTGCAGCCAACTCCTGTCTGATTGCCCATCTTGTCCAGAACGCATGATGCGTTCGCGGAGTCGTTTCCACATGGGCGACGTTATGTGGGGATCCCGGCTGCAACAACAAGCCGCCAAACACTAACTTGGAACAATGTCAAACGTCATTGACTTTGGCAGCTTGCGACAACAACTACGCCATGTCGCATACACTGTCTCAAGTCCAGGTGTTACAGAAACATGTCTTGATGGTACAGAACATGGTTCTTCCTATCTTCCTGGGAGCGTCAAACGGCTTAGTACTCCTATGTATATATGAGAGGCTTGGCGACGTCCTCTGTAGCTCTACACCACGTTGACTAGACGTTCGTTACACAAATGTCACACATAAAAGGCAGAAGCTGTCCAACGTAGATAACGAGCAGAAAAGATACTAATGTTCTGACTCATTCGAGTAAAACACTACTATTTACTGTCCCAAAACAACCATGTTACTTAAAGACCGATAACCACATCAGGTCGTCCAGCACTATGTCGAACATATACTCTCCACGTGTACCAGAATGGCTATTGACTGCCGAAAGGAAGACCCCCTGAGTTTTGCATTGGCTACAAGACATCCGAGCAACTTGCTCCAGGGTTAAATCGAAATAGTTCAACACACGTAAGAGCTGTTTGCTGGTGGGTTTTCTGGGAGTTTGTCGAAATACGAAGAGTTCTTCCAGCCGCAGACGCGCATTTTAACAAACTCTTCGATCTTTTTATCGGAAAGCTCTTGGTTGGCCGCAATTGGATGCAGCGTCCATGCCATGACCATCATGTCCTCAATATCCAACCACCCTACGAAAGTTCTCACAGACCTAGAGTCGTTTCCGAGCTCAAAATCTCGTTGATCGTTCTGATAACCTGCCAGTGCTGGTCCAACCACAAGGTATTCACCATTCTTCGACTCCCTGACTATCAGCTTGTATGCAACCTCGGAAATAAGGTGGTCACCCTCGGTTAGACACCAGTCACCCACTTTCGTATCTACAGGCGCACACACAGTAGCTGTTGAGCTTAGTTGTATCCGAATAAAGCCCCCATGCCGTTCGCGCCCTATGTAGTATGAGTTCGGCCCAGGCTGCCTTCCGTCACCGATAGTATCATACATCAGATCATCATCGCTGATCTGTACACCACTCCAATTCGTTGATACATTGGCAATCTGGGAAGTATGGTTGCTCTGTATTCGAAAGCCCGCTTGATGGGTGACACTCGAACGTAACGCAATGGCATCGCGTAAAGATTCCAGTTCCAAAGTAACATCGAAGAGCTTTAATAGTCGAGAACAATTATGTGTCGAGAGTTCGTTATCGACATCCCAAAAGCTGAGAACGTGCTTAGCAACCTCGAAGTTATCCTTGATGTAATCCGGAGTTGGCTCCTGTCCCTCTGGCCACCTTACAAGGGACAGGATACCATAAAGATTATCTCGAGCGTCCACGCAATGGAAATTCCGGAGCACCCGTAAGAGTTCATCGAGACCTTGCTTTTGCGCTGATACACCAAGCCGTAAACAGCTTCTCTGTGGTACTGTTCTATACAATTCGAACCATAGCGAGAGCCATAAGCTATTCGAGAGTTTGTAGGCGGGGATGCATGTCTCCAAATTCCATCTCAGGAATGCTCTGATCATACCGAAGAGACCTTCGAGGTCTAGACGGTTGATCCAGTATTCTACAAGGGAGTCTAGTGCTCGGAAAGACTCGCCGGGTTGTACATCCACCCCACAACAGTATGACATTCTGGTGGCTAGATGTAACTCCTGTAAGACCCATACGCGTGTGAAGTAAGGCCTCCGTATAAATGCGAGGAATGCTTCGCTCGTTCGTAATCGTTCCGAGGCAGGCATAGTAAAGAAACATCGCAACCTCCGCCACACAGCTACACGCCCTTCCATAAACTGATACCGGGGCTGATAATATGGTTCGATCATATCATAGGACTCAACCGATAGGCCCCATTTGTTGATCTTCTCGAGAATGGGCCGCTGTCGATCAACAGTTGCCATTAGGTATTCGCTGTCATCTGCGTGCGGTCCAACACAAGCGAAGACGTGCTTCGCTCCCGAATAGATCTTGCCCATAATACCTACTTGGTGATTCCTCTCTTGTATACTCGTCTGTGCGATACAGATGGCGTCGACCCAGTAATAGCGACTGGCCTTCGTCGTAAAAACTTGTTGAAGAACGTATCCGCAATTCCGACGTACAGCCAGCGGCTTGCCGTTGACAGTAATTTTGGTCATGTCAGCTGGGTCGCCCCAGGTATACGATATCGCGTAGTAGGACGGCGCATCGTCGATTGGCCATGAGGAGATTTCGCATTCGACGTGCTGGCCAAAATCGCCGCTCAGGATGTGTAGTAGGCGGAAGTGTGTGGAAGAGTCAGGAAGTGGGTCGTGCTCGAAGGCGGATGATGGGGTTCCGCTGGTCATGCTCGCACGTGGTTGGGAAGCTGCGAAGCTTCGGGGAAGGTGCGCGACGTGCGCGACTTTGATGTACGGAATAGCGCTCGATGGAGATATTCTGAATTCTTGTTTCCGGTCTATTGTGAAGATGGAGATGGACAGACAACCGTCGGAAGGCTGAAGTGTTGCCTGCCCACCGATGGATCCAGGCTGAGTTGACTCTCAGCCGCAGTCAGCCATGCGGAGGCTGTGCGGCAGCGTCTCCCGTCTCGCGTCTCGCACCCTCAACCTCCAACATCATTTTTGCCTTCTACACGTCTCCCATCGCGAACTAGGCAATACAACGAGCATTCGTTCTGATCGACATATCCGCCACGGCTTCTCGCTTCGACTGCGCTGAATCGTCCGAGGCAGCTTCGATACCCAGGTACCTAGGTAGGGTCGGTGTCGCGTGCGGATCACAGATTCGCCGTCGTCCAGAGTTACTCGAGGATTTGGGGATTTCCTTCGCACAAGGAAGGTTGCTTGCGACAGAAGTAACGGTCAATATCATGATGTTTCCGTTCATCTATGGAAAAGAGTTGCTAGACGCTGAGAGATTGTAGACCCGCCGAAGAAGGAAGGCTCTCGCGATGGGAGTTCCGACCTTGCACTTGCAGGGCTGGTGCCACAAGTATGAGGTGCCGACGAGCTCCATTCTGCCCTTGCAGACGTCGTCGACGTTGCCATGGTGAAAGATCAATCGCACGCATCAGGTCCAAGGTGTAGAAAATACATGACGGTGCGCACCTCAAGTTCGTGCATCAAGAAAAAATGCGTGGTCTGTACAGCGTGATCACACCTGAACAAGCGGATCCCACGGAGATTTGTTCTCACGGAATTTCTTCGGCTTACGGCCTCCGTATCCGTATTACGTCGCGATAGCACCTTCGCACCAGCTTTCCCCGACATTCGATTGAGATCAGTCAAATCCTGTAGAGAGCATCTTCGTTGTTCCATTTTCTGCGTGCTTCACGCACGTCATAAATCCGCTCAAAACTCCCTTCCAATTCCCATCCAGCCCTATCTGTACTAAACGGCCCACGTTTGTGGATCTCTCCGGGCCGATGGGCGAGAGCTAGTCCTCGTACAGCCCCTGCGTGCCCCTTTCCGGACAGTGCACATCGGCCCGTGAGCTTCATCTAGCTTTGAAGTCTTCCAGAAGACCACTTTTGTTAATTTTAGAACACGACCGTCATCTTCAGTCTTCAGGCTTGAATGTCAATGGACAGAACCGTTGAAACTTCGTGTGGGTATCCTTGCAAATACGACGTTCAGGCTGTATTACTGAGTAGCGCGAGCGCAGGTACTAATATATACCTCCTTCATGCCGCCTAGTACTTCCTCCTTCAAGTCAAGAGCATCTCATCTCTTGATACTCACGACTTCGTCTTATCTCAACACCATCTTTCACCATGGTGGCCCAAATGAAGAAGCTCCTGGCCGTCGCCACAACCGTCTCGGCATCCGTTCTTGAGTTGCCCGTCGTCATCGACAACAGCTATGCCAGCGTCAAATTCGAAATCGGAACCCCCCCGAAGGAACACCGGTTGTTGTTCGACACCGGATCATCAACGCTGTTCGTCGTCAACACCGACTGCACTGAGGAATCGTGCCCTGATGGCAGGGTCACATCCTACGTTCGAGAGAAATACAACGCGTCTGCTTCGTCAACATCCGTCGACCTCAACATCCCCGCGGCGATTCCATACCTTGGCGGCGACGTCGCTGGCGATACTATCCAGGACGTTTTCAGCACTCTAGACGGTAGCGTTGAGTGGAACCAGACCTTCCTATCCGCCAACCAGAGCAGCTGGCGTTTCATCACTGCCGATGGTTTCCTCGGCCTCGGGTTCTCCTCAATCGCGGAAAAGAACACGTCGACCCTGGTCGAGACATTGTTGTGGGACGGAAAACTGGACGCACCGCGTTTCAGTCTATTC